AGAGTCTGACTGCCCCCCCCCCGCTGACTGTAACAGAACTGCTTTTAAATGATAACCAGGTTGAACCTTTTAAAGTGGGGGGGTTAATCAAACCAGAAGCCCCCAAATAAAAACAGGACATAGCTAGGTGCCCCTAACCAACTGAACTACGGACTGGGGGGGGGGGGGTCGTAAATTTTTCTTAAGCATGAGACATCACCCCCCATGATATTTATGCACTGCATACTGGAGGGTCCTTCTTGAATTTCTTTCATGTCGCGTATCATGGATGCACATCAACGCACTGAACTCCCGCATCTGTCTGCAGAGTCCTTGACCGGTTCTAGAGTAAATTGTAGCACAGTTGTAACAGACGTGCTACACCCAGCGACCCTTAGACGTTCCGTGTTCTTCTGGGCAGTATGCTGTGGTTTTTGGAGAGCCGGACTGATTCGCAGTTTTATGCCTCCTTGACTACATCGCGGCTGCTCAGCAGGGGGCGCCATGTTCAAGGAACTAAAATTGTGATAGACGTATGTACCATGAAGTTATTCAGTCAGGTGGTTACTGTTGTGCCCTTAAATGAGCTGAACTTCTGCACTAAAAAACCTACTGAAGGTGTAATAAGTTGTAGGAAGGTAAGGAGATTATCTGAAGCACCTACTGAACATCTTTAGGTGATAGTGTGTCAAAGTTGTCACCCTGATAAAAAGCATGTGTCTGTGCAAGGACATTAGCTTACTTAGCATCCTTACCCCGGGTGACCTTAACTGTGACGGTGTGGTCATCGAACCCGATGGTTCTCTCCCTGTGTCTCTCTCATGCACACACACAGGGTGGCCAAAGAAGGCCAGAACAGGTGAGCAGTTACAACTGCCTTTCCCTTAAATTCATCATATCCTCCTCCTTGTGGCTTTTTTTCTTACCCACAATCCCCTTCACCCTTTTTGCAGTGCCTCAGTATGGAAATATAAATAGCAGCAGACGTTCTGTTCTGTGTGCTGTTGTATCGGAATGTCTCTCTTTTTCTGCTCTGCCATCAACCTCCTGTGGTGACAGCTACCTGTCTCCCCTTATAACGTGTTGCAGCTCCTCAGGCTCCTAAACTCACACGGCGAGAGCTCAGTCTCCCGTATCTCGGCCAAGGAGCACAAACTAGGCCAGAGCCTCGCTCTTGGGGAGAGTCTCTTCTCCGCCGCTCTCTGAGTGTTCCTTGGAAAAGCCTTTTGGGAGGTGGCTGACACAGGAAGTGGTATGGCCACAGTGGACGGGTTCGAGAGGAGCTCAGGACATGTCCTGCAGCAGGTTCTGCGTCTTGAGAACGTCTTGAATCCTGTTTGTGATTTGAATATATTTCTTATGTCAGCAGTACAGGTTTGCAGTTAAATGACTGCTGGGTCACGTTGGCCCAGCAAGACCAACTGGCTTGGGGTCTCCTGGCCGTCCTGTTGGTTGGTAGGATCATGGGTATTATGTAAAGGGGGGGAAGTTTTCCTAAGAGCTGGGAGGGATGCCAGAGATTGTGTGATGTGATCGGCAAATCACAGTGGCATCCTGAGTGTGGCACCTCTGGCGTGTTTCATTGGCTGTCCATGTTGCTTAAAGGGGAAGCTGCTAATTGGCATTTCTGCCAACAACAGACCCCTAGCGGAAAGCGAGACGCTGCCCGTCAGGAAACACCGTGCCCCCGACCCCGTCAAAAGCCCGGCGGAAGACGGTGAGAAGCCAGAGGCCCCCCAGGAACTCAAGAAAAAGAGCAAGAAAGAGAAGCGGGAGAAGGAGAAGAAGGAAGAGAAGGTGAGGCTGGGGACCCCCGTTGCTGCGGGCTGAAATGCAGCCAGACTTGCATTTCCATTAAAATGGCCGCCAGGTGACTTCCTGAGGCCTTTTGTTCTTGTGAGACGTGTTGGTCCGTGGTCCAAGTCACCAGCGGCATGTTTGGTGAATGTGTCGGTCAATATCTCTCCCGCAGAAGAGCAAGGAAGAGAAGAAAAAGAAGAAACACCGGCATGAGGCCGAGGAGGATCCCGCAGGGGAAAAGGAGAAAGCACCACCACCTGCTCCAGAGATGGAAGCTGTCCAATCACCTAGTAAATCCAAACAGGAAGTCCCGCCTGCAAGCGCACCAGCAGAGGTATGATGTCACAATGGGTGCTGAATGCATGATGAAGCGAGGGAACTCTGATTTCTGTTTAAATATCTTCCCTGACCCACTAACCCAAACTGTCCTTGTCAGGATCTGGATTTCTGGCTTTCGAATGAACCGGTACCATCGAAGTCTCAGGTAGATGAGCCCATTTGCCGCACGTTGCATTTTCTGAGTCTCGCTGCTGATCATCAGTCTCCAAGAACCCCTCGAGTGCCCAGTGTTTTGGTTTTCTGCTCTGGATAATGAGCAGAATATCTGAGCTGGAAATCGTTGCCGCCTTTCCAACTCGTCCCCCTAGACGGATGTTTGCGAAAACTACTAATGGTAACCATGACAATAAGAGCCTCGGTTGCCTTTAAAAATATCCCAGGTGCTGTTGATATTTTTCCCTTAAAAAATTTCACAAGAAGTAAGATTCATGAGAGCCTTTCCAGTAAATCTGGTCTTTGTGGACAGTGGGAATCTCAATTACTTCAGCGTGAAACACTGAGTCACTGTGCGCGCTGCTACATTGTGTTTCCATAACGATCCCCGCCTCATCACTCAGAGAGGTGTGTCTTACAGGAGGCTGTTGTAGCAACCTCGAAGTCCACCACGGAAGAGCCTGCTGATCCCGGCCAAGGGTCCGACACAGAGGATGCTGTGAGTTCCTTTCCCCTTAGATGTTTCCCAGATGTTCTGCTCGGACCTCTCGGGGTCACTGCCCGTGACCTTCCTGCGATGCACTTTATGCCCCAGAAATCGTCCAAACACAAGAAGAAGAAGCAGAAAAAGGAGAAAGAGGAGAAGGAGAAGAAAAAGAAGAAGCAGCACCGTGTCCCCAACCAGGAGGAAGAGGAGTCCGTGCAGAACGGCACAGTAGAGGAAGAGGAGGACCCCCTGCCGGTAAGCACTTAAACCCCACCCCCGGTGAGCTCCGGTGAGCTCCGGTGAGCGTGACACACCTCAGTGATGCATAGTAGGTGTGCCAGGCAGAGGAAGGTGATGACTTGGAGGCTGGTGAACCAGTATATCCAGGAGCTGAATTGGAATTTCATTTTTGTTACCATGGAATTCTGTTGTGAAACCTGAGAATCTCGGACTTGTCTATATCAGCTGTGAAATCTCCCCTCCCCAATCCCCATAATTAAAATTAACATATTTATTGGCCTTCCTATACACACACACACACATACTCAAACATACATATTTTTTTTCAGTTGTGTGTTTGTTTCTGATAGATCAACCCAGGATTAAGTGCTGAATTCATTGCTTGTAGTGTCATCAATGACGGCAAACTCCTTTAAAGCTTGATTTGTGGAACTGTTGTTTCTGGTACCTCCAATAAGACACATTTTTCTCATTTCAGCCAATGTCCAACTACTGTCTCCTGGCTGAGAACACCTACATCAAGATGGTGAGTGGTGGAGGGGG